GCGGTGCAGGTGTCCCCAGCATCAGGATCTGTGCGTACTAAGGCATCGAGGAGCAGAAACAAAGCTGGCCACTGCAACCACATGTCCCTGTGCTGCTGTCTGGTTCAACAGGCACAGAAGGGGCTTCTAATATAAGCCTTCCCAGGGTATCATGACCTAGGGTGGACTTGACACATGTTTTCTTCCGATTGGGACTCACTGTTTCCAGCGAAGCGCAGTCTGCTCTGCTAACACTGTGACCTAGACCAGGTAAATATTTCTGGCAAACCAGAAGGTGAAGGTCAATCCTGACAGCAGCAGTGACCAGCTTCCCAGGGGAGCAGTGCCCCCCTGCCATCGACCCCCTGCTCCTACCCCTGCCTTCTCCACTCTTCTTGCAGGGCCAGCCCCCGGCTGGTGCAAATGGGTGGAAAAACCTCAGCTGCTGCCTGGGGCTGGCAGAACTTGGGGCTTTTCAGAAGCGCTCAGCTGCCATGTGGCACTCAGCAGTGCTATTTCTGTGATGCTTCTGCCCTTGCTATGATGCTGTAGCTGCAGAGATTATGGGATTTCTGCAAAAAAAAAAAAAAAAGAAAAAGAAAAAAGGCCAGGCGAGAAGCCAGGCAGCTTGCTTTCTGAGCAGATAAAGAGCTCCACCAAAGGCAGGCTTCCCAGCAAGCTCTGGCGTGGCTTTGCACCTGGCCTTGCCTGGCTCAGGTCAGCAGCCATCCACCCTGATGCAGAAGAGTCTGCCTGGTGTCACTGATGTCCCATACCCCTTTCCCACTGGATGCTGCTACCCACAGCGTGTCCTCAAAAATGCTCTGCAAGGTTTCCTTGTGCAATGCCTGACTCGAGCACACAGGGACACTGCATCCTCCATCAGTAAGGGTCTAGGGACCTCGACAAGGAGGCTCCAAACCCCGTGAGCTGCTCTGTTGTGCACAGCCCCCAGGCACATTCTGCATGGGGTGACCAGATAGGGGAGTCCTGAGGTGCCAGAGGTGCTGGCATTGCCCACAGGCAGAGACCAGGTGTGCTGTGCTCTCATGGCCCCTGCTGACCATTAGATCCCCCACTGACACCGTTCCCTTGGCTAGCACCATGGATCTGCTCTGGCCTCACTCATGCCTTAGCTTTCCCCGTGCAGCTGCTACAGCGCATGGGCTCCCTCCTGGAGCCAGGGTGCACGAGGGGATGGGAGAAGAGAGGAGCTAGCCCTGAAGCGGGCGCCCTCTGTGCCCAGCCCCACGGAGAGGCCCCAGGCACCTGTGCTAGGCCTTTAACAGGGTGGCCCGGTGGCGCCGCGAGGCACCTTGCACGGGGGCAAGGGGCAGCCTGTGAACCCTGCTCAGCCCCAACCTTTGTCTCTCGCCTCTGCTAACGGGGCAAACAGGCGAAGGGCTCAGCCCCGGGCCCCACGTGCAGCCGGGATCAGAGCAGCCTTCCCACAGAAAACAAATACCACCAAGCACGGCATGGGAGGAAGCAGCCAGATGGGAGCACTGTGAGAGGGTGCTGCATTCAGCCTACGAAGGGACAGGGCCATGGGCGAGCCCCGCTGCAGGGGCAGATTCCCCATGCGCCCAGCTGGTCATAGTGGGGTTAGAGGAGGCTGCCACCCGGGGAGCAGCTCCACCTTGTTCCGTACCCCGCRCCACGGCAGGGTCCCAGCCAAGGAGGTGATGGGAGCAGCACCCCGGAGTGCAGGTGAGAGAGGTGAGAGCACGTCTCTGCCCCAAGGGGGCCCATGCGGTGTGCTGACCCCCGCTGCCTCACACTGTCATGACGGGCGCCAGCTCATGGACTGGCTTGCCCAGCACCAGGGACGGCAGCTTAACCCCATGCCCTGTTTCCCACCTGTGAGCCTCTGCCRTGCCAGTCCCCAGCAGTGGGGTGGACCCACCCCTTGGGTGCCGTCCCAGGCAGTGGGACGTGGCGGGCAGCGCCAGCCCACCTGGGGCTGGCTGGAGCACAACCGCAGCCGCTTACATGTTTTTTTTCCGGTGGCTGCAGGGCCAGCAGGGAGGCTCCTTTCCCAGCGCTCCTGGCTGACGAGCTAGGATCCCACGGCTGGGCAGAGCTCTGCCCGCACCGCCTGCCAAGCGCTCGCAGCTCCTAGGGCGCTGCTGCCGCCACGTCAAGGACACGCTGCGTGCCGAGGCAGCGCCGCTGTCACCCCCGGCAYAGTGCCCAGCCTGTCCCCACAACCCTGCGCCCCTAACCCTGCAGACAGGGCAGCCCGGCCCCCTCATTCCAGAATCACAGCGCTGGTGTCTGCAAGAAGGATGCTGCCCCGTCACTCCACGCCCGGCAGCTCCAGTGCAGGGATACTGCATGCTCTGTCTTTCCTCCGTGTCTCCTTTTCTCCTTGGACGTAGGGCTTCCCACCCAGCCCCACTGGCAGAGTTCGTTTCCAGCACTGTGCCCTGGTGGGGATAAAGCCCTTGGGGKGGGGGGGGGGGGCTGGGGGGCCTTGCTGTGGGGCAGTGCCCTTCTGGGAGCATTGCACTCATGAGGAGCCCAGGGGTTTGAGCTGCTCCCGCCTGCCCCCCTTCAGCCCTTCCACTTCCCCATGCAGCAGCGCCGCTCCGAACGCACTCCCGTGCCGGGGGCTGGAAAGCCCCGGCCTTCCCCTCCGCTCCCCAGGCTGGAGGTCAGTGCGGGGCCCCGGGTGACCTTGTGCCAGCACAGCGGCGCTGCCCGAAGGCAGGGCAAGCCCCTGGCGGCAGCGCTGACCTCCCTCACCAGGCGCCTGGCTCCGCGCGGGCAGCTCCGCGCGGGCAGCTCGCGCCCTCCGTGCCCGTTACCTGGAGGGCTCGGCTCTCCGGGTGCGCCTGGCGCCGCTGGCTCTCCTCCCTGCCGGGCGCCCGGTCTCCTCGGGCGGAGGGGCTGGTTGCAGGGTGGCTGCGGAGCCGGGTGCCCTGCGGCCAGAGTGGGACGCGCGGCGCCGCGCTGCCTGCGGCCGCCTCAGCGCCGCTCCCACTGGCTCAGCAGGTGGAGGCCGCGTGCGCGCGCGGATTAGCAGGGGGAAGTGGCTTCTTCCATAGAAACTGCGAGCGAGATTCGTCAGCGGGGCCGGGCGCCAGCGCGAGGAGAAGGGAGAGGGGAGCGCCGGGAAGCTGTGCGCGGGCGGCAGCCCCACGGGGAAACGCCGCGCGTGCCGGGGGACAGTGCCCCACTGCCCCGCTGCCCTGCTGTGCCGCTGCCGTCCCCGCTGCCCYGCGGGTGCCAGCGTGCCCGGGCCGTGTCCAGGGCTGAAAGGTACCCCGTCCCCTTTCCTGTAGCGCCCGGTGCCGCTGCGCTCAGGCCAGTGCAGGACACTTGCGGAGMCCACACCCCTCTGCAGTGGGTCAGCCCCTGCCTCGAGGCCACACCACGTGCTGTGGGGCTGTAGCGGGTCACCCAGGGGCACAGACCCTCAGCCGGGCCCCCCGGCACCACATGGAGCAGCCCCTCAGCCAGCACCTCCCTTCAGCCACCTCAGGCCTGGCCACGCTGGCCTCGGCCCAGGCCGTGCCCCCTCGCCGGCCCCGCTCGGCTCTTCCCGTTAAGGCAGTGTGCGCGGACCGAGCTTGGGGCTGGAGGAAAACAGGCGCTGGAGCCAAGAGCCGTGGAGCTGAGCAGAGCACGGGGAGGCCCGAGGAGGGGCAAGTGGGGCCGGGCTGCCAAGGCCCCAAACTCACGCCGTGCCTACCTGGTTGTGCCCTCGCCTTCATCTCCTTCCACCTCCGCTTTGGGAGCGCAGGGGAAGCCCTTTCCAGCTGGCACTGTTGTGCCCTGCTCCTCTTCACCGCTGCCCTTGCTGCTGCTGGCACCCGCTGYGCTGCCTGCCCGCCATGGGGACCCTGGGCAGGGCAGGCGGAGGCGCTGGGTGCGCAGCAGGGGCAGCCCTGCCCYGCAGCTCGCGCTGCCTCCCGCGCGGCCCTCGCTGCGGGGCCGCCAGCAATTCTATTTTAAGGCCCATGCTACGTGTGCGGAAGAGACGGGCTGTGCAAGGCCGGGAGAGGCCCTGCTCCTGCGGGCCCAGGCGCTTCCCCTTCTCCCCTCAGGGCTGTGTGCTCAGGGGGTGTTTTGGGCAGGCTGCTGTTTCCCCTTTGGAACTGGAGTGGCAGAAGCCAGAAAAACTTGGAGCTACTGAGGAGCTTAAAGGAGCTGTTGCAGAATATCTGGGATGCAGGAAGCTCCAGGGTCCAGCCAAACACCCCTGGCCCCTTCCAAGCTGCACATCACCCATATGGTGACTTGGGCCAAAGCCAGCCTGCGAGAAAGGGTGGAAATGATGGGAACTGCCTCGGTGCTGCACACTGTGTCATGCTGCGTGGGCCCTGGGCTGCGCAGGCAGGATTTGCTCACCAGGCAGTGACATTCCCCCATCCTCTGAGCTCCCAGGGCAGAAAAAGGGGCCCAGGCACCCTGGAGGATTAGCAGGGCTGAATACACGCACAGGGAAAGCGCGGGACAAAGCTTCCTTGTGAGAAAGGCCACGCGGCTCTGACCACGTCCTGGGGCGGGACAGGACCCAGGCTGCAGAGCCCCAGGCTTCGCCTGTGAAGCAACTGCCTCCCTCCTTATCAAGGGCCATYGGGGGGGCCTGCTCTGCTGGTCCCCTCACTGCCAGGGCTGGAGGAAGATGCTCCCAGACTAAGCATTTGTTTGTTTTTTTAATAAAAATAACAACTCCCTCACCCCTGCTCGTGCTGCGTGTGGGAGGGATGCCGGGGATCCAGCTGAAGCGGCGGCAGGGAGGGCCGCGCTCAGCTCRGTGTGGGTGACGAGAGGGGCCCTGGCTGCCGGCAAGGGCCTGCGGGCCGCACGGGGGCTCAGCGCCTGGCTGAGGAAGGCAGCGGCGGTGGCGGGGGTGACATGCAGCCCTGGGGCTGGGTGAAGCAGAGCCGCTTGCTGCTGCAGCGTCCCTCCCCCTCGTGGAGCTGGGMGCCCCAAGGCGACGGCGAGCAGTGAGGGCTGGTGCTGGTAGGAGAGGCTTTACTAAGTGGCACCTGAAGCAGGCCTGAGAGGAGGCAAAGGGGCAGGCTTGTGCTTTTCTCCTTGTGTGCGGCTCACTCCTTCTTGCCAAAGAACTTCTTGAAGACAGATTTGTTCTTGGGGCGAGGGGGGGCCTGGGTCTTCTCCCCTAGCACCTCCCGTGGACTTCCTGGCCTGGCTACAAAGGAGTGGCAGCGCGTCCTGGGCACGGCTGGTGCTTGCTCCCCAATGTATAGCGTGACGGAGTAGCTGCTCCCAGCCTCCACAGGCTCCTTGGGCACCGCTATGGGCGTGATCTTCTGGTAGGTGGCTGCAAGAAAGGCAGGAGTGAGTAGGAGGGCTGAGGCACATGCTGGGATGTGCCAGCTCACCCAAGGACCTCTCCACGCTGGGCATGCGTGCAGATCTTGGGGCACTGGAGCCCAGGCTGCGAGGACACAGGCACCAGGGTGGTGCTGAAGACAGCATCACACCTTGTCCTGAGCACACCTCCCTTGCTCCCAGCAGTGGCTGTGAGGACAGAGGTGCTGGTGCCACCTCCTGGCAGTGACAGTGAAATAAGTGTCTCGACCCGGGAAGCCAACTCAATCCCACATAATACGTGTGGGGCTGAGCCCAACTGTGTGCTTCAACTCCACACAAAGGGGCTGCTCAGGAGATGGCTCCCCATGGCAGAAGTGACAGAGACAGTGACCAGCATGACTGGAGCAGATGTGTGACTGACTCTTGAAGGGAGCAGTCCAAGTGTGAGTGAAACATATCCTCCTGGCCCAGCGTGAAGGCCACCCAGGCAGGATGTTTCATGGAAACTCCAGAAAGCTGGAGCTTCCTTGACCTGGATTTATCCCACGTGCCTAACACAGCCTCAGCAGAAATTAGACCAGAATTGCCAGTAGGCAGCCCAAACACTCAGTGTCTCCTCATGGATACAGAGCCATGAGTCAACAGTTCCCAGCTCCCTACACTATCCCTTTCTTCAGTCTCCTCCTCCTTGCGGGGTTGGCAAGAGCCCGTGGGCTGCCCCATATACCAAGAGGAGAGGAATGCCACCTCAGGGCACATGGATTTACCACATTGCATGAGGGAGCTGCTGCAGCACCAGGGAGCAGCCTGTGCACACACCCCTGCAGGAGAACCCCCAGGCATGATGCTTCTCCAGCCACTGCTCCCACCCAGGGACGTGGGTCCCAGCCGGCCCTCAGCTCACAGCTCAGGTGGCTGGTGGCACCCAGAGCTGTGTKGTGGTATGGCTTGTGTGCTGAGCAGACCAGAGGATGGAACAGTGACCACTGGGCAAGGTTGTCCCATACATGCATGAAAACGTCTCGACACAGATGTACCTGAAGTGAACGAGTAGGACCTCCTCTTGTTGGCCACCAGGCCGTAGTCATCTTCTGGGCAGCTGTTGTCCCACGACCCAGGGGATCCACTGGGTAACCACTGGTGCTCCCTGTGCCCAGCTGTGTGGCTAGCAGCTCCATGAGCTTCTTCTGGAGAAGAACAGAGACATGTCAAGGAGGAGCTGAGACAGATGGGCCAGCCGAATATCTGTCCAGATGCTCTAAAAGTAGGTTACTTTGGCCCAAATGCAGCAATCTGCCACTGTACTACGACACAAATCAAAGTCAGTATGATACACCCTTGCATCAGCCCCAGAAGGTGCTGGAAAACTTACATTGAGGCCTGATTATCTTGACAACTCCCAGGCAGTGAAGGGAGGTAACTTCTGTAAACTAGTCAAAAGACTTCTCCGTCCACCTCCCATGCCCATTTCTGAGTGAAGGACTGAGAGTCTATTGGTCCAGATACATCAAAATCAAGACCGACCTATAACACTACAAATTCCCCCTAAACCCTCTCAGGGCTGGGGAGAGGAACTGGGGAATAGCAGAGTCCTCTGCTCAGCTCTGCTCCCTCCAATCCCCCAAACTAGATTCACTTGCTTACATCCTACTCCATCCTGCCTGRGAATGCACTGGTAGATGTGCAAGGCCTAGCTTCTACTGTGCTCCCTCCAGACAGGAGCAGAACAACCCATAGATCACCTAATAGCACTTTATTTGTGTAGTGAGTAGGGCAGACTCCATGGGCCCTGTGGCCAGGAAGCCTGTGGGGCAGGAAAGTCACCTGCTGAGGATGCTGCTGCGTCTGCTGGGCCATCCTGGCTCCCGAAAGGCAGCTGCAGCCTGGTGTTTGTGCGKGGTAACACCACCATCTCTGGGCTCTTGGCAGTCACGGCCTGAGAGTGACTCTGGAGGTGGGAGCTTCCAGGCCCAGGGACCTTGCTGAAACTCAAAAGTAGCAGAGATTTAGCAGATCAGACTTGCCAACAGAATATCTGCTTGCTGCATGCTGAAGAAGGCAGCTTGGACAGTTAACTAAGTGCCTAAACTTGGGTAACTAAGTGCCTAACACCCACTTTTGGCCCTCTGAGCCCTCTGGGAGCACAGAAAGCACAACACCACAATTAATCCTATGGTGTGGCCCATGAAATACAGTAAGAGGAGAGTGGCTTGCACCAGCAAGAGTGGGATATCACCATAACAAGCAGACTTGCCTCTGGCCAAAYTGAGACCTGGCTAGCCTGCTCCTGGCTACTCACCCTGCAGCAGAGCCGGGGCTCTCGACGTTCTGTGCTGCTGCCTGGAAGTAATCCACTTCGGGGAAACCTGGGGGTAAAGCAGACAACCCGCTGTGGGGCAAGGAAGAAATGCTGCCTCTTGGGCAGTGCTGTGAGTGCACAGGACTACCCCACTGAGCCCCACTGAGGGCAGACCCCGGCTCCCTGCCCAACTGGCTGAGCCATAGGGATGCCCAGACCACAGAGCTCATTCCTCTGACCTTGAGCTCTATGGCTTGCTGTTGTTCACACAAATCAGCTTAGCATTTCATTATAGCGCTTGAACCCCTTGGTTGACGGTTAGGGCAATGCGAAGGTCTCAGTCTTGCAGATCTCCTTGCCTGGAAGGGGTTTCCAGGCTYCACAAAAGAAATGGAGAAACAAGGGGCATGGGAAGACCGAGGCCCAATTGTAATTTTCCTGACACTGCTTTTATGCTGCTGAGACTCCACTGACGTCAGCTGTGTTATTCCTGATTTATAATTGTGTATGCGGTGCGAAAACAAAGCCTCCAAATCCTGCCTGGCAAAGAACTGCAGTTCCCAAAACAGGTTAAAAAACTGCATAAATCAGTACTGCATTTCTTCTCTYCTGATCCCACGTGCATCAAAAGAGTTCAGAAAAGGCTACATGCACATAGCGAGCATGAGAAGATGACCGCAGAGTTGTACTCCCACCCCAGTTCTGCCCCTGCCCCTCGCTGYTGCCCTGCAGCCTCTGTCAGCACAGTTCAGGCTCTATGTGCCCCACTGGGACCCCACATGTCCTCCCTGCCCATGGTCAGGGGCTGCTCACCTGAGTTCTGCTGCAGCTTGGAGACCCATTCATTCATGAGCAGCTGGGATGGGGCCCTCAGAAGATACTCAGAGCCATCCCGCAGCCTGAGAGAAGAACAGCAAGTCAGCAACAAGGAAAATGTGGGTTGCAGACACTGCATCCCTCATCATTCTTGGAAAAAGGGGGAAGCAGATGAGAAAAGGAAGAAAGGAAGAAAGGAAGAAAGG